TGTGGGGGCAGATGGGTTACGAGCACATACCCAGGCTGAATGTAGGCGGTGTGGTGGCCAACACCACCTTGCAGGAGTTCTCAGCTTCCAGCCAGCCCCCAAATTAAGCAGATGATAGTGTAAATGTCGCCACTCAGTACCCGTGGCTTGATTCTCCTCCCTCTTAAGTCAAGAACAGGCTCTAAAAGTGACTTGAAAGGCAGCATATGCTAGGTCTCTGGACTGCAACACTCCTCAGGTTGGTGTCATAGGAGAAAAATCATATTTTGCTCTTAGGAGCCAGATACAATTCTGTAATTTGAATTCCTTTGACAGGAATTTAAAAAACAATAGAACTCACTCCCTTAAATCCAAGCTATGCCCCATACGAACAGATCCCTCCCTTGTTCAGGAGGGATCAGATGATCTCTCCCTTAAATGAAACTAAAAATCTACTCTGTCATGCTGATTTACATTCTCTCACCATTAGTTTTGTTGATGATGTTTTAATTATAATTCCAGCTTTGTGGTACAATGGATGTCCCTATTATCATCTATCACTGAATTTTAAGCATCATCCTAATTATTTCAGGGTCCAATTGCTTAAACCTGCTTTATTTTCTCTCTGACTGTAGAGAAGAAATCATTGTTTTTCGTGCAAAGCTATGTGTTTTTCATTCAAAAATTGAGGATAATTTTATTCAAAATAAATGATTTCTTGTTTGTCCTTTTTTAATAGTCAAGAGGAAATTCATTTTTTTCATTTCATTCTCACTAGTGAAATAAAGTATGTCTTCACTTCCATCCTTTTTGAGTTCTAACTTCTCCTTTCTCCACTGAAAAAAAAAGGGGGGGGGGGGGGGGGGAATTGGCTGTATATATATATATGCCATTGGAAACTAAAGCAGAATGTTGCTTGGTGTTATTTTTCTCTCACTTTGACAAAGTTGAAAGTGAGAGAAAATGTTATTTTTAAAAGCAATAGTGTTGCTTTTCCTCACTTTTTTTTTTTTTCCTAATATTTAACTCCCACTTTTCCACAGGGAAAGTGGGAGGAGAGGCAAACAGCAGGAAGACCACCAGAAGAAAACAAAAACTCTCTCGCATTTGGTGTTTAGAGAATAGTAATTAAAATTGAAGTAATATAATTTAAAACACTTGAAATGTATGGCAGCCAAGTAATTTTTATTTACTATGTAATTAAACATAAATTTCAGCATCAAATTAAGTACTTCCCCTCTCAGAATATCTTTCCCTGAGTCCAAGCCCTTTGCTGCTGTCCCAGGCACAGCTCTCGTGGTGCCACGAGCCTGCTGCTGCAGCAGCTCCTTCATCCCTGCCAGTCTGAGGATGTTTGTTAGGGATGCCTCCCTGCCCAACAAAAAGGGGGAACACAACAGGAGCTGTTTTTATGAACCACACAGCCTGGTTCTTGCAGAGACATGCAGGCCCCATGACTAATCTTGTTGTGCCCAGTGGCCGCAGAATGACACATCTGCTCTACTGGGGTCACCATGACTTGTAGTGTCCCTCTGTGCCTGTGCTCTGCTGAGCTGCTGTGAAGGAACAGCACACAAAAGAGAGCCTGGGGGGTGAAAGCTGGACCGTGTGGGCATGATAGACCATGTGGGCATTGCTGCTTTTAGGAAATGAGGAGTGTTGGGTCTCATATCTGGGAGTGTGCACATCGGGAGTAACAGTGGGTAACACTGGGAAGGCATCAGATGAGGTATGAGATATGATGGGTATTATTTGCTATAATGTTGGTGGAATATGCTTGACTTCATCATGCAATGGGAAACCCTTTTTCACTGTGTGGACACTGGCACACTCTTCGTGAACCCACTCCACGACATGTTGTGCAGTCTTCAGATCGACGTTTCTCAGTGAAGAGAGACTATGTAAGAGCCTTCTGAACCACTTTACTTTCATTAAGAGCTTAAATTGGTCTGAAGTAGCGTGCATGGATATGTATTTCTTTTATGCTAGTGTAGACATCTGACCTCGGACAAAGGGCCAGCCTAAGGGTTTGTGCATCACTGAAACCTCATTTAAAACTTGAAGACAGGACTTGAACAAAACCTGGATATTAGTGGGTAACAAATGGCATGCACCACCAAGAAGTATGTTCTAGTTTTAGATTCCAAGTGCTTTATTTAAAACTGACTGTTTACTTTAAAAACACCATATCCACAAGAAAAATACAGCTTTGTGTGCAATGTTTGACTATATTCAATTGTGGGATACCAATTTGGTATTAAATGCACTAAAGAAACCAAACCAAAACAAAACAAAGCAAACAGAAAGATGGAGCACTGGATATCAATCATTGTCTCTATAACAGAGCAAGACATATTCCATAGTCCACATGGATTTTGCTATTTCTTCCACTGGAGAGGCCCATCTATGTGATTTTGCTGCAGCTAGAAAATTGGTATCCCTTCCAAACACCGAGGATCACATGACACTGAGTCAGCTTTATACAGCACTTCTCCACATTTCACCCAGCAGTGGATCTGTTGATATGCTCTGTCCTGCAGCCTGCCAGTGGGTTTCCACAAGCATAAAGACAACAACAGAGCTACTGGAGTGGGGTTCCAGCATGGCCAGATACATCCTGAGCACAGAGCTGGGAACCTGCAGCTTTCTCGGAGACACATCCATGAGGTTAAAACATCATCTGTTGTCTGACTTTCATATCAGATGGAGTGGCATAAGCTTGTGAATATATGAGGGCAGAAGTCTGTGTCCCTTGAAGAGGAACAAAACCATTTTCTTCCAAAGGCAGCCCCTGGTCCTTAGGGTTTTACTTCTCCCATCACCACAGAGTTTGGCTGTAACTGTTCACCCGTTCCCACGTGATGTTCTAGTTGCACATTCTTTTACAGCACAGTATAAAATAGAGGACTGTCTCAGCAGGCTATTTCAAGCATAGCTGTATTACCTACTTGCATGTAAACATTTTCTTCATTGATGCAGTATATTCATTTTGCCTTTTACTCTTCAAATACACAAGCATTTTTCTAGATATATCTTTTTTTTTTTCTTTTTTTTTTTTTTTTTCTTTTTTTTTTCTTAAAATAAGGAAGAAATAAAAAGCAGGTATAATGCCTTTTGTATACTGGCATGCATTTCTCAGAGCAATGCTTTTAACCTGCTGTGCTTGTGAAGCTTGTGAGACATCATTTTACCTTTATGTCTGGGAACCATTATCACTCTGTTTTGCAACCAGTGAGCAAGACCCCTTGAGCAAGACACTCCAGAGACCAGATGCTCTTGCTGGTGATTGAAATGAAGACATACCTCAAAGCTATACATTGCAGAGGGAGAAGCCAGAAGCTGGCTTCCTCCAACAGGCATCATGAGGCAAGTGTTGAGGACATCTATAATTAGAATATAGACTGTGAAGGTGGGGGTCGCACAGGACATGTCCCAGGGAAGTGGGCATTATTGCTAGGTAGATATCTGCACCTATATTAATATGGGCCTGTGTTCTTTGTCTCATGGAAATTGCCAGGCTCAGCAAGGAAACACCAAAGTCATAGCTGGGCTCAGACGAGCTGTTACTACTTCCTCAGCATCTATGTGATTGCATTTGTTCCATCGGCAGCATCAGCTCTGGCTTAGAAGGAGGGCTGTTGCTCTTTATCACCGTGACATCTCAGCCACCTGACGATGGCTGTAAAAAGGCTTGCCCGCAGTCTACAACCTTCCATGTAGCAGCAGACCAGAAAAACAGTCTGCTTTAGATGCAACATCCCAGCACAACACACTGTGTTAGCCAAGGATTTCAGTGCTGAATTTATGTAGAAGAGCTATTCATATTAAAAACCCTAGGTGCTGTAAGCAGAGATAATGCTATGGACCAGCACCGAGAACAATGGGATTTCAGTCCTTGTGGGTGACTGCATGCAAATACCATCTGAAATACACATTAATTAGAATGAGTGTGTTGCACTCAAAGCAAAGTACATATTCTAGGAAAGCAGACCTGAGGTACACGTTCACCCAGGCAAGCACTCCGTGTTACTGAGGAGCAGGCAGAGAATGTGAGCAGTCGGTACTGGAAAGAGCTGCACACCAAGGGAAGAATGTCTCCTTTGTGAGGGACCAGAGGTTACCTTATAAACCAGGCTATAAAAGTTTATATCCTTTCCTGGTCATGGTGAGATATCTCCCGCATCACTTCAGCCACATAAAGAAGATGCTTAGTGTAAACCAGTGCCTGGCTTCTGTCAGTAAAGTGAGAGGAACATCCCAGGGAGGCTGATTTATCTCATCCCATTTTAGGGGAGGATAAAACACTTTTAGGAGGTAATTGGATTTATCTCTCTTTGTCAGTATCCAGAGCAGCTGTCTAAGTTTATATGGAAATCCAGAGGAGCCCATCCTTTGCATTTGTAATCAAAGATGTTTTCTGATGCCACTGCTCCCTAGAGTTGCTCGAGCATGGTCCGAACTAGTTACCTGAAACCCTTTGAAATTCTGGAGCCTTAAGACTATGGGGTTTGAGAAGCTTATCCAGAAACAGCTTGTCCAAAAGCTCTGGGGTGAGTCATACAACCACGGGCCTTGAATACAGGCAGAAAGCCTGTGTCTGAAGCATCTCATGAAGCAAACTGCTTTCAAACAAACAAACAACAACAAAGCCAAACAAAAGAAAAAAACGACTTGAGGTGAGAAGAATATTTAGACTGACAAACGCAAGGTGGGAAAAAGAAAAAAAAAAAAAAAGAAAGAAAGAAAAAAGGAGAAAAGAAAAGAAAAAAGGAGAAAAAATGCAAAGCACGGCTCAGATTTTGCTGCAGTGCTTCGGCGAGGCGCGGGCTGCCGTCCCCGAGCGGCGGGGCTGCCGCTGCCCTCCGCCCCCGGGGCTGCGGGGCGCGGGGGGCGCGGGGCTCCCGGGCTGCCCGGCGGCGCTGGGGGGGCTCGGCCCCGTGCCCCCGGGGCGTTGTTCGCACCCCGCGTCCTTCCTGCTTCCGGGGGCCGCCGCGGGGAGGATTTGCTGCAGATGACATCAGCCGTGGATGCTGGAAAAGCGGCGGCGGGGATGCGCCGGCTCCCCCCCTTCCTCCTCCTTCTCCTCCTCCTCCTCCTCCTCCTCCTCCTCGTCGCCAGGTCCCAGCCCTGCACCGTCTCCGTATAAAAGCGCCGCCGCCTCCCCGCCCGCCCTCACTCCCTGCCGCCTGCGGAGCCGCCGCCGAGCGGCCCTTCTCCCCTCATCGCCCCGGAGCCGCGGGGCGGAGTGGGGGACCGCGATGGCCACCGTGGTGGTGGAAGTGGACTCGGAGCCCTCCTGCAGCATCCCCAACCCCACCTCCCCCTCGCCCAGCCTCTCGCACCGCTTCCTGGACAGCAAGTTTTACCTGCTGGTGGTCATCGGCGAGCTGGTGACCGAGGAGCACCTGCGTCGGGCCATCGCCAACATCGAGCGAGGTGGGGTGCGGGGGGAGAGACGTCCCGTGTCCCTCAAACGGTGGCCATAGGGCGGTCGGTGGTGGGGTGGTGGTGATGGTGATGGGGTGGTGGTGGGGCGGTGGTGATGGAGGGGAGGTGGTGGTGATGGGGTGGTGGTGGGGAGGGAGTGAGGATGGTGCTGGTGAGGATGGTGCTGGGGTGATGGTGATGGGGTGGAGGTGATGAGGATGATGGGGTGATGGTGATGATGGGGTGGTGCTGGTGGTGATGATGGGGTGGTGCTGGTGATGGGGTGCAGGTGGTGGTGACGGGGTGCTGGTGCTGATGGGGTGCTGGTGGTGGTCCGAGCCCCTCCCTCCCGCCGTGCACAAAGCCCCTCGCCCCCCGCCGCCCCCGCCGCGCTATTGTGGGGGCTGCGGCTGCCGGCCGCCGTCCCGGAGCCGCCGCGGGGTGGGCGTGGCGCGGCCCGCTCCGCACTGCGGTCCCCGGGGCTGCCCGCCGCGGACAAAGGGCGCCCGCCCCGCCGCCGGGGCTCGGGCCGGGGCCGGGGCCGGGCACCGGGGGGCGGCTGCGGGGCGGCTCCTGCGGCTGCCCCCCTTCCCCGGCGCTCGGCGGGCGTTTTCCCCCGGGGCGGGGATGCGGCTCCTCTGCGCATTGTGCCCAACTTTGGGCGCCCGAGCTCTGCAGACGCACGCACCCGTGGTTAATGACACGGGAGCGAGAATAATAAAACGAGAGGCGGGTGGCGGGGCTGGTGTCCGAGCGGCCAGCCTCCGCTGTTGTCCAGCTCGGGCTGCCGCAACTCGCTGCCTGTTTGCCCTTCCCTTAAGAGGGCGATGCACGAAGGCGTCGCAAGTGAAAGGAGCGAGTTTTGTTAAGTTCTCGATGCGGTTCCCAGTCAAAGGGATGGCAGTGTGCACGGAGAGGCAGAAAGCCCCGCGGCCGTAACGGTGGTGTGAAGCACAAAGGAAATTGTTGCCGGACACTCTAGTTCGCTAAACTCTACTGATATGTGGTTTTTTTAACCTATATCTTGTTCTGGACTGATGAAAGCAGAGATATCAGAACCCTGCTTTTGTTAGAGAGGAGAAAGAGACCCTGAAAAAGAGGGATTTGGTAGCAGCCTTGCCGTGTAGGTGTGGTTCAGCACTCCAGCTAGGACTTCGCTTGTCTCTATTGTTGTTTTCCCAACCGTTGTTGCTGTAGTTGGCGATTTATCTTGATTCTTTTTCATGGCTGTTTGTGGCAAAGGGCTGCCTCATCACAGCTAACCAGCTTCACCGTGACCTGTTCATCTTTCTTGCGACCATTGTCTCCTAGGGAGAACTACTGAGGCAGATGCTTTGTCATTCAGAGCCTCTTCAGCACTGCACTTTCCCAATTCTGTCTAATTTTTGATTGTGTCAGAAGTGAATTGGCTGCATTTCATTTAAATTAATACTATTTATTGAGCAAAAGGATAAAACTTCTCCCCTCAAGACATCTGATGTCATCCTTCCTCTGAAGAAAAGCTCTTCAGCCTCTTCTTGAAGCTTCTATTGTACAGTTGCTGCTGCATAGCTCTGTTGCTGCTACCTCTTGCCAGTAAGCATAACACCCACTTGCAGTTTTAGATGTTCAGAGGAAACGCTTTGGCCTTTTTATTGATCATTTTGGATTAGAAGTCACCTCACTGCTACTGGTGTCAAGCTATCTGACTGGGATTTTGCCTGCTAGGAAAAAAAAAGAAAAGCTTGATGAAAATTTGAGGTGCATTGTTCTGGATGAGCACACTGTGAGTCTGAAGCCCTCTCTGAGTGAGGCAAATACGGGCTTCACTAATCTTTCTCTTTGGAAAGTACACTGTAGTCTGGACAAACTGTCTTCTTTCATCCTTTGTGCTCACCAGAACCTTAAATGCATGTAGGGTTCTTGATCATTCTGCCTCAATGTCTTCTCTGGTACGTCTCCAAAGTACCACCACAGAAAAGTGTGGATTCACGCACTGAACTGCAGAGCAACGTGTCAAAGAAAACATCTGCTGATAAGACATCAGTGGCGTGATGCTACGCAACCCAGTGGAATGCCGAGTCATTTCTTAATATATCATGAAGTGGGAATGGCTTGGCAACCTGCATTTTCAGTAATTACATTTGGGATGTCATTTTGCTGAGGGGGCAATCCTCCAACCCACCGTCCAACAAAGAAGAAGAGGGGAGTGAGGAGAAAGCTTCAAGATCTTTCCACTGATTTGGCAGATTCTACTGGGTGTGCCCTGTCTGCTGTCTGATCATCCCTATGTCTAGTGGCATTGCTCTCCCAAGACTGCAGAAAGAAAGAGAGAGCCCCAGCTCAGTCATCCTCCCAGTCATTACTTCCATGCTGCTAATGATATACATCATTGGATTGACCTTGGATTTTAGTTCTAGATTTACTTCCATTGTATTCAAACCTAATTTGATTTTATAATGTACATAATACATCATACTCTGTTATAATGTGCATGTATAATATTTTTTTTTTCTTTCACCCAGAGTGCTGAATCATGCAGCTGCAAATCTGGTATATTGTAGCTGAATCCAAACTTCACCTTCTGTGTGCATAGTATGTCTAAGCCGTTTTTTGTTTGTTTTCAGTTATTTATTTTTCATTGAGTACTATATTTTGGACACTGACTGGCTCAGTGGTCTGACTATGCCTAATCAGGATCTTTCCCCTACCACAAATCTGGATCCACAACAAAAGTGGTTAGGGATGGTCGACAGGCTCTGTCATTAGCAGCATTGCTGAATCATAGTCCTTATTGCTTAACTGACCTCCAGAAAGCTTTGCAGTCTTCCCACACAAGCTTGCTGTCAGAGGCCACCAAGCTGTTATCTTGTCTCTTCTTCAGGTCCAGCACTCACTTATTCAACACACTTCAGCTTCATGATCAGCATTACATTACTTCTCATATACTTTTCATATACACAGTACATGCGTGGTATTATATCATATTTACTTTCTTGCTCTCAAATATTCCAACACCTGGAAAATATTAAAGCTTGCTGAGCTGTGGTTGCCTGCCAAAACTACGCCCCAAAAATGTACCATATGGCCAAGAGATTTTTGAGAAATTAAAATAAAGAGACTTGCAGAAGAGAGTCACTGCCTATGCCTCTGAACAATGATGCATAAGTCAGGAAGTGGAGGTGGTTGATTATAGTTCAGTTATTTTTCTCTGGAGTGGTTATGAAACATACAGATGATACTGTATTTTCAAATCTCTCTAGAGTTTAATATTGCAACAACTTAATAACTGGTAGCATATCCCAGTAAGAAGCGTGCTCATACCTCGACTGGACTGCTGACAAGGAAAAAGCACTGGATGAATTATCTCTGCAGAGGCTTCAGGCTCCTGAAATGCAGATACCCATATTTGCATGGAGAACCTCCTCAGAGCTGCAATGGGAGACCAGCAGTGCAGATCTGGTTTCTCTGCTCTTTCTCCCCCTCATCCTTCAGCCCTACAACATGGCCTCTACCAGAGGGAGGCTTGATGTTTCTGAGAAAACATAGGAGCCAGCGTTGACAGGAAAGCTAGCAGTCTGAAATCCTGACAGCTACGAGAAGTGCCACCACTGGTTGCACAATATGAGAGGTTGGCCACACATCTCTTCAGGGTTCTCCTCCAACCCAAAGGTAGCAAACCCCAAAGGGATTTAACTCAACAACTTCATGCAAAGACATGGCCGAGTTTGTGGGAAGGGGACAACAGGCACTTCCTTAGGTGCAGTCTCTTCTGCATTTGCCAGCTAATTTGTATAAGTCTAGTGACATTCCCTTAAGAAAAATCAATCAATCAATCAATCAATCAATCAATCAATCCATCACTATGATGTTGGTGCTTAAAATCACAGCAGTGTCTGGACTTACCTGTACTACAACAGCCTACTCATTTGTTTTTGAAAACTTAACAACAAAACCAGAAAAATACTAAAACATATTATCCTGTTAATAGGATTTTTTTTTTTTGAAGTTGTCATCAAAACATCATGGTAGGAAACTAAACTTGTGTTTTAGCTACAGGGATTTTGTTTTTCCCTGGTCAAATGTCAGACCTTAAAATGTTTGATTCCGAAATATATTTTTATGGTCATATGTGTCAACTGTATCATTTCCTTAGTAGATGAGGAGGAAATAGAGATGTGATGTTTATTAAAATAAAAAAAAGATCAAGTGTAGCATTTCTAAATCTCAAAAGTAGAATTTTGATACTTTATAAATAAAAGATCACTTAAATTTTAATTTAAAATGTGGGACTCTTCAAAGCTTTAGAATGAAGAAGTCAGCAATGTAATACTCTTTATTTAAATATTAATTTGCAACATGTGAGGGAACATTGTCCTTCTCTTTCAGTTTTGTAAATAAGTGTACTGCTATTTTAAAGTCGGTGCAGGGACATGGATGGCTTCTCACAATGTGGCTGCTAGGTTGTAGGACCAGCAGTCACAAAGCCGGGGCTTTAAGGATTGCCCCCATTTGGAAAGCCAGATTTCCTCTTTCTTCTGGTTGATCCCTGTCCAGAGTGCTTCTTCTGAGCACTCCACACTTTGCAAAAGATGGCTGTGTGGCATGCCAAGAAGAGAGGCTGGTTTTGGAATTTATAAATATACAAATAATGTGAGTGTAAACTGAGGAACAGTATATATATGCTGATATATCTAGCTAGATGTCTTTTTGTGTTTTGAATTTTAGGAATCCGATCATGGGACACAAACTTGATTGAATGCAACTTGGATCAAGAACTGAAACTTTTTGTATCTCGCCATTCAGCTCGATTCTCTCCTGATGTTCGAGGTGAGCTTTTGGACATGTTAGAGAAAGCTTTGTTTTGCTTGTTTTTAAGAACAGAATTCATAAATACACTTGGGTATTACATGGCCCATTTTCATTGGTTGTTCTTTACAATGAATACTTTTTTCCGTATTTTTAATACATACCTTGAAAATTATATATATATTTTTAGCTTTCTGACAAAACAAAATGCCCGAAATGTTAAACTAATCAGACCTTTAGGTTAGTTTGATGTATATCACCATGATTACTTTGGTAATAGATATTAATGTTGGGTCCCCATTAAAGTTAAGTGAAGCTTACCTTTTGACTGGACAGTTTGTTTCTGTAGCACAATCTGGTGATTCGAGAGACCAAAGCTACTCCTTACTGCAGTAGGCAAAGCACATACAAAAAATAACCTGAAGGTTAGCTCCACAGTTCAATAGAGCCAGAAATGGTGTCACGGCTGTTGTGCAAGTGTGTCTCAAGCTTTGTGTTTCTCCCCAGAGAGCTTGGTACTTTTTCTCGGTATAAAAAGCAGAGAGGTGGAGGGTCTGTCTTGACTCACAGGAACTTTCGTTGGCTTTTATGAAGAAATTAGTGATTTAGAGGACTTATGAGACTCAATCATTTCTTCTGCTGCCTTTTCAAGCTTGTCCTTCCTTCCTTTAGAGGATTCATACAATTTAAAAAGAAAAAAAAAAAAGGTTTTTAGGTATAAAATTTGATTTTTTTCTGGTTGCATGGGAATCAAAATATTTGGTCTTTTTTTTTTTTTTTTTTTTTTCTTTAATGCAAACACTGAGTAAGCTTGTATGAGGTTAATTTTGGCTTTCATATAAAAATATATAACCTTTGCACAGCAGTATAGCTTGCTTTCCATGGTGAACATATGAACATATTGTGGCAGTGTACATATTGACTAGTACAACCAAGAATTGACAAATACTATAAATTCTGGTTTTAGGGACATCTCTTAAACACAGTGAAAAAGGATATGAAATATATCATACCATCACATTCCTAAGGGTCAGTTGTTACATGCTGTTGACAAAGAGATCCTGATATCTTGCTAGCATGATAGCACTGACCTGCTGGTCTTGAATAATGCACTAAAAGATCTTGTATAACTAATTCCAGGATTGGTTATAGCAGGTATTGCTATCGTGTTCCCATATCTATAGAGATTTCACTGGATTTAAGAAAAAGATGTACCTTTATGATTTTTCACCTGATTTAAAAAACAACAGAACTGGTACAGGAATACTTGGGGCTGAATTACATGGGATTAAACTCAGGGCTAGAATACAAATCTTCATTTTAAATGTCCAGAAGGAAATTTATCTCAGTGACACCAATCACTTCATTTTACGGAGAAGTTATTCTAATAAACGAAATTAGCTTAACATATTTTCAAGAAGTGTACTGTAAAGTAGAATATATCTTTAACATATGTGTGTTTTAGTTTAGAAATGCAGAGAAAAAAAAAAAAAAAAAGGAACCTGTACTTCTCCTTCAGCACAAATGTTCCAGTCAGTTTAATATGTTTGTTATCTCATTAAGATGAACATTTGATAGCATTGCTCTTGATAACATTGCATGACTTAAAAGAAAGCAAATACTCTGGTTTCATATGATAAATGAAGGAAGATTATGCACCTCTTTTTTAAAAATTCAAATTTTGATTCAATTTCAACAAAGATTATAAAATTCTCTAGGAATCCTTCTCTAGAAATTGTGTACTTTTCATTTATTTATTTATTTATTTTGACTAGACTTGCCTGTTTAGTCTGTCATTGTGTTGAATTACAGCTTAATTGCATGTGACTGGAATTCATCAACATCTCTATGACAAGCAGTAATGAATGTGTTTTTCAGCACTGCTCAATCTTTATACAATAAGCTGCCAAAATCCATGTTGAAAGAGACTAAAAGCTAGAAAAAAAAATGAACACCCAGGAATAAAACTAGCCCTTTTGACCATTTTCTCTTCTCTCAGATTTTGTGTGGAAACCCATTGGCTCCTTTTCAGTCCAATAGCACATATCAAAAGACAAGATTTGAGTCTCTGTGGTTCTTTGTTGCTGAATCTGCCTCAGGCTCCTTTGTGTCTTCTCAACTATTTGAGAACAAGGAAGGGTGGTGGTTTTTTGTTTTTGTTTTGCTCTGTGGCCATAAAGTTACAGAATATTTGTTTTCTGTTACAATAGACAAATGTTGAATTTCAGTGAATGTGAAACTGGCAGCTCGTACTAGACATACTGAAGAGATTGTAAGGACATACTCCTTTATGGACTCAAACTCTGTGGAATTTGTGTAACTAGGTGACCTGTTGTCCAAGGAAAGTATTCATCCAAGGTGATGGGATAGTGTGTGGCATGTCAGATAGGATGTAATTAAACAGCCTTTTTTTCAGTCTTTTTTGAGACTGAACTCTTTGTGCGACTCAAACACAGGGACAGTTTACTCTTGAGGAAGGGTAGACTCATTTAGCGAGTCTGCACAGTCCTTGGTACAGTGAGGTCTGAATACTGACTGAAGCCTGTTTGATTATCATGTTTAATTATGATAATTGCTGTGCTGGCTCAGTACATGCTTGTATGCTTCTCAAAGCAGCTCGAGGATACACGCAGCAGTAATGCGAATGGTATGACTCGTTCTCCAGGAGGAAGCTTGCAGGAAATTGGGCCAACCCTGTCCCCATGCCATATGCCTGCAGTGTTGAAGGACAGACATGTGAGAGAAGATGTATGTCACAGCATTCATATGTTTTCACTTGAGGAATTTGAGGTGTAATCCTTCTGTTTGTAGTGAATAGCCATGTACATATTGAATTTGAAGGGAGCATGACCGGGTCCCAACACTCTTTTTGTGCTCTTACCAAGGGAAAGGTTTGCCACAATGGTATTTGCACATCCTATACTCAGTTGCATGACAATTTGTGGATGATTTATGATTCCCTGAAAAATAGGATTCTGAATGGAAATGGTAGCAGATCTTTTCTGATACCTTGTAAAGCAGCTGAGTTAGCAGACTCTTTAATAATATCAAATCTTGCAGGAATGTTGTTATCAGGTGCTGGTGAAAAATGAGTAACAGAGCTTATTAAATGGTTGCCAAGACAACAGGCAACATGACTTAAAATGGTTGTTTGCCTCTGTTTTCTCTGTCACATACTGATGATGACTTCCATCTTATGGTTAGCTTCACAAGGACAAAAAATTCAAAGAGTGAGTTATAATGTATATACTGGAAAAGGAACTGTGTCTGGTAATGAGGCAAAGCAAATGGAGGTAGTTGAAATTGCAGCTGTAGCTAGCAATCCTTTCTCAATTAAAATAAATAAATATATATATGTATATGTATATATGTTTCAACTGCATAAAGCTGAGTATCCTGCTTCACAAAAGGCCAAGTAAGTGGATTTTGCATGGAGGTGGAACAGCTGAGCGTCCTTCCCTGCAAGACTTCCACACCTGCCATTTTGTCCTTATGCTTCCACCTGTGGACACTTAAATGTTGTATTGGTGTCTATTCAAGCCCTTGTCTAGATAAAATCAATTTTATTTAGATAGCAGATCAGTACATAGTCACCTCTAACCTTCTTGGTCTCTGTGAAGAACTGCTGCTCAAGCATTGTTCAGTGGCTACTTTATCCTTCAACCACATTTCATGAAGAGCGTGCATCTGTGGAAAACGCATTTCCTGCCTAAGCAGAACCAGAAGGTCTCTTGTTGCCCACCAGTCAGCAGCTGGTGATTGCACTGGCTTAAGTGAGTCCTTTCTGCACAGGACTTTATTTTCACCAGCCTGCCTGTGGCTAGGAGAAACTTGTCAAAATGCAAGGGGTTTATGGATTTGCCTTCTTCAGGTTTCCTAGGGAAGGCTCTTGTTCTCTGATTGCCATTGCCCCCCAAAAGCCTAACACCCTTAAATCTGAACAGTACCATTTCATAAGTTACAATTAAGGATTATTAGAGTTCTTTGGAGAGGTATTGGGTTGGGAGGGGCTTTGGTTTTCAACACTTGTAGCATTGAGTTTCTCATTGCCGTTGTCAAAGCAGATCTGCATCCAGTTAATATCACGCCTAATAGCTTGTAATATGAGTTTGTGAAGTTGCTGATGAAATCCAAAAGTGCAAGAATTTTGTGCTGTCTTACTTTTTTTTTTAAAAAAGCTAAGAATTCAAATTTCTGTTTTGCTTACTCCTACCTAAATCACTGAGGGACAGCAGTCATCAGCCTGGCTCTTTGCCCACTTCTGCTGCGAGATCTGTCTAGAAGATGATGTAGTCTTGTGTGGGTAAGAGAAAGGGGTGGACTCAGATGGTATCTCAACACTGTCACCAAGTGCCCAGGAATTAATTCAGACTAAAAAGTCAAGTAGTTTGGTATGCACATTTAGGGACAATCTATAAATATGATTCTACAGCTATTATAGGCTGTGATAGCTGGAATAGCTATCGAGTGGAGTCATTTTAGCTCATTATATGTTTGGAGAGGTTAATTTTAGCTGGCTACTAAACTTGTTTTGTGTTTTAGAGTATTTGTGTCTTGGAAGAAAGAAAATGGAGGTGGAATGGGACTTGAATAGGGAATTGAGCTGACTCATGCTGCTGCAGCAGTGGCTGGTGTCCCTGCAGGATGATGCTGTCCATGTTGCAAAGGTGCAGCAGTGATGCTACTGGCAGCACTGGAAGCACAGGGGCAACCAGAAGGGGCAGCGCACGCGGTGCCCTTGTCTGCTCATGAGCTCTTTTTGTGTGCACTGCTAGGGTTTTGGTGGCTTGGGAGAGGATTACAGTGTAACTGCCTACATGCCTGGGTACATGAACTGACAAAGCCTTCCTATTTTAGTACTAATCAAAACACCAGAGATGGGCTAATAAGCTTTTTTTTTTTTTTTTTTTTTTTTCAGTGAATTAATTCTTGCACTTATGTGACAATCATTTTGGCACTGACTTCCACTCCTGCTTTTTTAGGAATGATCTCATAGAAAATTAGCATGAATTTACATTACT